ACAGCTGAGAGTGCCGCTGCAGACAACCACTTATATGGAATACCAGGCTGTTGCTGCTTCGCTGCTGAGCAGCAAACCACTGGTGCGGCGGCGGTGGACCCACGTGGGCCTCAGCGTGGGGGCCCCCCTGGGCAGGGGCCTCCCGCTGGGGGTGCGGCTTTTCTTGGATGGCAAGGAAGCAGCAGCAGCACCCATCAGCAGCAGGTGCTGCCTCTGCCAGGGCCCGCTGCCTTTCTGGGTGGCCCCGCTGCCGCTGCCGCTGCGCCTCGAGGAGCTGCTCAAGCGCCCTCCCCACACCCCCCTCACCCAGCAGCAGCAGCAGCAGCAGCAGGCCCACCTGCTGCAGCAGCGGTGGCCCCGCTGCAGGGCTCACTCCATGAGGGGCCTCATGGCCGACCTTAGAGTCTACCCCACTTGCCTCAGCCAGCAAGAACTGGCGGCAATGGTCACTGCAGCAGACCAGGCCTACGGCGGCGAGCGCATAGCGCAGCTGCTGCACCGCATGCGCAAAGACGAGGCGCACTGCAGCAGCAGCAGCAGCAGCGGCAGCGGCTGCGCCTGCAGTGGCAGCAGCAGCAGCACTGGGAACCGCAGCAGCAACCCACTACCGGGAGACTCCGTTGCAGACCACAGGGCTGCTGCGCAGCCGCGAAGCCGAGACCAGCAGGAGCTGCTGCTGCTGCGGCTGAGTCAAGACAAAGAGCTGCTGCAGCTGTGGAGGCGGCAGCGGCAGTGGAGCTGCTGGGAAGACACGAGGCGATCTCTCCCCGCCGATCCCCGCACCGTTCTCTGGCGGTTCTCAGGCGTGCAGACGCCACCGCAGCAGCAGCAGCAGCAGCAGCAGCAGCAGCCAGCAGTCAGGGGGAAATGGGAACTTGTGTTGCAGCACGTGGACTGGCTGTTAAGTGAAGAAGTGCTCGCAGGGGTCTTGAGCATCTTAGAAGAGGGCGGAGAGGCACTGCAGCAAGGCGAAGCAGCAACGGCAGCAGCACCAGCTGCAGCAGGAAGCGGGGGAGCGGCAGACGGCCGCGTCGACATCGACAGCGTGCAGCAGTTTGAGACTTTGCTTCGACAGCAGGAAGCCAAAGGGCAGCAGAAGCAGCAGCAGCAGGTTGCTGCGCTGCGGCGGCGTCTTGCTGCTAACCCCAATTTGTGGGGTGTTGCTGAGGTGTCTCTACAGCTCTGCAGGGCCTTCACCCAGTTGCTTGTCTCCATTGGACCTTGCCTGGAGCTCTTCTCTCCCAGGCCCTCTTCCTTCTCCCTCACGCTTCAGAGATTCAGGTCCGCCAGGCAGCAGCAGCAGCAGCAGCAAAAGCAGCAAAAGCAGCAAAAGCAACTGCAGCAGCAGCAGCAGCAGCAAAAACAGCTGCAGCAGATGCAACAGCTGCTGCTGCTGCGCCGCCGCCGCCTTCGAGTGTTGATCATGCTAGCTAAGGTGGCGATGTCTCTGCTGTGTTTAGGATTTAGCGTCTAGAGTTTAGGGTTTAGGGTTTAGGATCTCGGTTCCGAGTTAACGGTTAAAGAATCAGGGTTTAGCGTTTAAGGCCTACGGCTTCGGATTTAGGCTTTTAGATTGAAGGCTTCGGGTTCAGGGTTCTGAATTTCGGATTTCGGATCAGGGTTTAGGGTTTAAGGTTTGGGGTTTAGGGTTTGTGGGTGCGGACAGGCAGCTGCTGCCTTCGAGTCTGAAGCACTGGCTGGTGAGTCTGTGTCTGTCGCTGTCGGAGGACTTGCGAGCTGACGGGCGTTTGCGCGTGGCGATAAACCGGGCGCGGGCGTTGCGCGCAGGGGAGCGTGCTGCAGCAGCAGCGCCTGCAGCAGCAGCAGCAGCAGCAGCGGGCAGCAGCAGCAGCGGCCTCAAAGACGTCACCATGCAGCTCGCCAGCCAGCTCGAAGCAGTGCCTCCCTGGCTGCTGCGCCGCAGCACCAGAGTCTGGTTTGTGGCTTATGAAGGCGAAGGCGGCATCGACGCAGGGGGCCTCTACAGAGACCTCTTTTCCCACATTGCTGCTGAACTCCAAACTACCGGCAGCAGCAACGGCCTCCTCCTTCCCTCCCCCAACAGCAGGGGCTTCGGCGAGGACCAGGTACCCGCGCCTCCTGCTGCTGCTGCTGCTGCTGATGATGATGATGATGGTTCTGCGTCTGTGCTATCCCTGCACCTGCTCTTGTTCTGCTGCTGCTGCTGCTGCTGAGTTCGTGCAGTCGGTGCTGCTGCTGCTTCTTTCTTTGTTGCTGCAGCTGTTGCTGCGTCTCTCTTGTCCGTTGTGCTGCTACTTCCGTTGCCGCTGCTGCTGTTGCTGCTGCCGCGTTTTTGCTGTCCGAGCTGCTGCAGTTTCCTTTGCTGCTGCTGTTCCGTGTGTTTTCCTTGCTGCTGCTACTTTCCTTGCTGCTGCTGCAAGTGGGTAGTTATGACTCTTTCCGCTGCCACTGCACGCATCTACCCCGCGCCTTCCACCGCCTCCCAACCTCCTCCGCCCGCTTCTCTCGCTGCTGCTGCTGCTGCTGCTGCGCAGGACATGTGGCTGCTGAACCCGGGGGCGGTGTCTGCTGCGAGCCTGGGGGCCTACCGCGTGCTGGGGCGGCTCATGGGCGTCGTGCTGCGGGGGCGGCTCAGCCTCGGGCTGGACTTGCCGCTGCTGGTGTGGAAAAGGCTGGTGGCGCTACAGCCCGAAGTCCGGGACCTCGAGGCCACCGACGCCCTCGCAGTCCACATTCTCCGCAAAGTCCGCACGCTCTAGGGTTTGGGGTTTAGGGTTTGGGGTTTAGGGTTTGGGGTTTGGGGTTTGGGGTTTGGGGTTTGGGTTTAGGGTTTGAGGTTTAGGGTTTGGGGTTTCGGGCTTGGGGTTTGCGGTTTAGAAATTTGGTGTTTAGGGTTTGGGGTTTAGGGTTTGGGGTTTAGGGTTTGGAGTTGAGGGTTTGGAGTTGAGGGTTTGGGGTTTAGGATTGAGGGTTAGAGAGGAGCTCAGGGATGTTGGGTATCACGGGGTGCTCTGCTGCTGCGCTGTCTACCTGTGCGGCATCGCCGTCTCTGCCTGCGCTGCCTCTGCCGCTGCACCCCCGCTGCTGCTGCTGCTGCTGCTGCTGCAGCTGCTGGACCTGGAGTGGGAAGGCGTGGACGCAGCCAGCTTCAGCGAACTCTTCCCACTCTGCTGGGCCGCGCCCTCAGCCAGCGGCGCCGTCGTCGCGCTGCGGCCAAACGGCGGCGAAGCCCCCGTGGGCTGGGGCCAGCGCAGCCATTACGTCCTTGCCGCCCTCGCCTTCCGCCTCGCAGAGGGGCAGCTGCAGGTTAGCAGCAGCAGCAGCAGCAGCAGCAGCAGGCGTAGGAGTAGGAGTTTAGTAGCAGGAGCACGAGTAGGAGTGTGAGCAGTAGCAGGAGCACCAGCAGCAGCAGCAGCAGCCGCAGCAGAATCGCGGGAGCAGCAACATGAAAAGCAGCAGCTGTTGTAGCCTAGTGAGCAGCTAGAGTGCCGCAAGCAAAAGCAGCAGAAGCCGTTGCAGCAGCAGAGGAGAAAGTATCTGCAATAGCATGCAAGTACTGACGGCAACAACAGCAGCACCAGCAGCAGCAACACTGGTAGCAGCGGACGGAACGGGAGCAGCAGCAGCAACAGCAGCAGTAGTCGCAGCAGCAGTATCGCGCACAACCAGCACATAACGAGCAACAGAAGCAGACAGCTGGCAGCGGCAACTGAGGTTCTTGTAGCAGCGGTTACTAATCTTACCAGCACAGCTGCAG